TTCAAAGGAGATACTTCTGACCATGACTTTCTGAATGACTTCCTAGTTAAAGCCCAAGAGTCACTTACCTGTAAAACCAGTTATTTTATATAATTCCTTCATATACTGAAGAATTTCCTTTGTGATTAAAATACTTTCTTCAATTACTATAACACTTAAAATATTAACTGTATTTCCCTTTAAATATCTTATATTAGTGGTTTTACTGCCAGAAACTGTCAGGCATCATTGATGTAATTACTCATTTATAGTAAGATTTTAATGCTCTAATCTTCTATATTGATATAAATCTCAACTGCACACCTGGTGTTTGCATACTCTCTTTGATGGGCTCTGTCACTTAAATGTCAGCATTTATTTCTCTTGAGTGCTGCTTAAGGACTTCCTGTGCTACCTACGTGACTGACTTAGCACATAGACTATTTAATGTGCCTTGAGAGCTGAAGATTACATGCCGTACATAAAAAGCTTCTGTATTTATCTAGATGACAACAGCAATATCCTTTAAAAACCTTTTTTCTTTCCTTTTTTTTTTTTTTTTGTAGCACATAAAGTATAGAACAGACTGAAAACATTCTAAAATACTTTCAGAACCATTCCATGATTCTCCTTTTACTGTGATAGACGACCATTTAATGTATCGGGGAAAATACTCTTAAAGTATAGATTTATTCTTGCTTTCCTTCTACCCTCTTCCTTTCTGGACATTTTATTTAATACTACGCACTCCACCTCTTGCCCAAGTTGGCATAAATTGATAGGTATAAGTACTAATATTTCAGACTGCTGTAAAACTTCGAGCACCAAACCAATGCTCCAGTAGGCTGGGCAGCACCACTCCAGGCATCTTCCACACTTGCCAGAGAAGAGATTGGCCAAAGCTATTCCTACAAGTGACTAAAATGCAATCTCCATGTTCATAGATCAAAAAAGTGTCTCAAACTCAAATCAAACTTCCTTCCCCCCCCCATAAAGTCCAGAGGCTTCTCACAGAAATACTAAAGATAAACTGACTTAATCCAGTGCCAGCTTTGTAAAAACTTTTCAAGGAAGAACTTACCTAAGCTTCAAATTTCTGTAATTTATACTAAATGTAGAAAGGCTTATTTTCACAGACATGGTAAAAATTTTTAATTATAATAATCCTATGCATGTTCAAACACTAACTCATTATCCTGAACTCATCATCTTTAACCTGAGTACTTCGAACAATTTATAGCCTTCCTTTTGCAAGTAGAAGGCATCTTTATAATCAGGTAAAACTCCACAGTTTATTTATTTCAATAAACCCTTTGCCATCTATTTTGCTCCAAATGTCAGCCACTGGACAAAAGAAATCCTATTAAAAAATTAAAATGTTTGTTTTCATTAAATTTCATTTCTATTTTTATTTTCAGAAAGCTCTTGCTCTTTGATTAAAAATCTCTTTAATCATGAAATCAGAATTACTATCATATCAAACTCTCTACATCTTATTGTCATATAAAAAACTTTTGAAATCTGGTATGTTTTCTTCTAGTTATTAACAACTTCATTTTTGCCAAAAAGTTGCTAAATAAGATCTTTTTATTAGGTATTCAAAGATCTTTACAACTTCTTAAGTATTATCCATGAGTGGGACTGAAGACTTCTTGATTCTAAAAAGCAGTAATTTTCAATCCATAATTCACAAAATCTCAGAAATTAGTCTGCAAAACCCCTGCAAAAAATTATTTGAATAAAAGTCTCACTTTCTCATGCATGTAAGCAAAAAAGAGAAGGAGAGAGGTGGCAGCCATGGAATTCTCAATGTTAGGTTCACTTTGTTGGCGCTGTAAATGAAAACAACTCTGACAAAACTGTACAAGACAATCCACTTATTTCTCCTCCCCAAAAAACAGTTGACAAGTTCTTTCATTAAATACTGAGAATCACTCTTACAGTGGTTCTTCAAACTTTTGACATAAGCTACACCAGACTACACCAAGATTTGTGCTTTAGCAGCTCCAGCCTTTTCAGACTACAATTCTGAAATCAGAACCACCACCCAGAAAATGCAAGGCACCTGTTTTCTCTTTAAAGAAATTTAAATAAGTTTCTTAGGGTATCTTAAGAAATTAAAAGTTCCATAGTAGAATTTCTACCCATTTACCCATTTAAAAACTGGACTGTAATATCACAACTTAATTCCTTTTCCTTGAAGACCACCCCCTTTCAAACAGGTAGAGCACAAAGCTTGATTTCCAACTTGGTTTATTGCACAATAAGGCACGAAAACATTGTAACTTCTAGTAGAGAAGTATGAGGAGAATAGTTCATCATAATTTCCTTTGTAAAGCCCCTTGCAAATAGAACGTTGAGAAAAAGAATACTGCTTTTAGAATGGCCTTACTTTTTAGTGGCCCCTACATAGCACCATAGAGTTTAGACCTCTTTCAGATACAGACAGAATTCCTTAGTAATATTCAAATGTTTTATACATGATAGTGCAAGGAAGGATTAGTTTTGCTTAAATTTCTGTAAGAATTGGAAGCGGGGGGCAGGGGATGTAGAAGTAGGGAAGTAGATTTCCAATGACATGATGTTTTGTTGCCTCAACAGGAGTAAGAAAGTAATATCTTCTTAATCATTTTGATATATTGAAGGCACATTCAGTAGCACAGAACCAAGCCATACTCCTAGCTATTTCCAGCAACCCGCAAATATTAATTTATTCTCACAAGCCTGAATACTGAATCTGTGACAGGAGAATACGAGGCTGGGGAATAAGCAATGGAAATAGAGCTCCACAAACATACCATTCACTGAAAGGTCTGTTGCACCAGAGAATGGCATTTCTAATAGTCTCTCGAAGACCCAGGAAAGCCCATCTGTTATTCTCAATGCTGAAAAAACCCTATTTCATCCTCAACATACACTGATGCCAGATATTTCATTCTAGCAATATACAACATACATCAGCCACCTACCTTAGAATATTAAAGTTCTTCTAATTAAGCAGTATTTTAAGAGAAAATTTTTTTCAGTAGGCTGATGATTGTACGTTAATTTTTATTAACTTAAGTTTACTCTGAGAGCTACAGGCAAGGCTGGAGCTTCCTAACAGAACACTTCATAGCTGCATTGCAAAGTATTGTTAAAATCATTAACATAGAAACTGGAATAGACATTTTCCTTTAATCCACTCAGACAAATAAAACAGTATATAATAGCAGGAACTCTTTTCTAATATCCCTAAAACACCTCAAAAACAACAGTTGTTTGTCTACATAGATTTGTCATTTTCAAGGTTTTTCATTAGTTGTTAAAGAACCAGAGTCAAAAGGGAAAAACATTTTGAAACTAATTTCTAATGAGAAAGCAACAAATTCTGAATAAGAGCATTTACAGAATTTTGGACAAAACTTATATTCTGTATTCTTCATAGCATGTACTTAATGGGCCAAAATCAAATGGTCTATTAAACCAAAGTAGTATAATTTATGTGTATGTGCATTTATATGGTCTATGTAACAATAAAACTGCTACTTAATTGTACATAATTTCTCTTAAAATTATATATAAATCCTTCAACACATTATGTAACTTTTAGCTACTACATTTAATACCAGCCTTTTTTGTGTTTTTTAAGCTAAATCATAGTCTTGGCTATATATCTATAGCTCCACTAACTCACATAATATGCACAAACAAGCAGAACCAAATGTTTTTTAGCATGCACAAACATACAACCATGTGTCCCCATGGGGACAATTACACAGTCAGTTACTTTTCTGAGCAATCCATACAAGATTTGCATGCTAGGATTATTAAATTTTAACTATGTCCTCAACAGCTATCTGAAGCATTCATTGAATGCATGTATTTTTAATTTTCACACAGTTTTCCAGATGTCAGTATTCATGGAGGGAAAAATGTATGAAGTCCCCAGGTCACTGTGGTTTCCCTCAGTTTCTATAGCAAGCAGCCACATCTTAAAAGTAGTCAGTAGATTGCAAAGGTTCTAGAGGAAAGCTTATGAGCAAAGATATATGTTGACCAAAATTATTTTCCAAGTGAAGTCAATAATCTGATGAGAACAGATTGCATATACACTTCACATAAGAATCAAACACAGCCATTGCTTTATTACTGAAACCTCTAGGGTCAATTATCACACAATTCATCAAGAAAGCAAGGCAATTTTAACCTGAGTGTTATTTGCCCAGATAAGACAGACAAGACTAGGAAGGGCATTGACCTGTTGGAGCGAGTCCAGAGGAGGGTCACCAAGATGATCAAAGGGATGGGGGACCTCTTGTATCAGGAAAGGCTGGGAGAATTGGGATTATTCAGCCTGGAAAAGAGAAGGCTTCAGGGTGACCTAACTGTGGCCCCCAGTACTTGAAGGGACCCTTCAGGAAAGATGGAGAGGGACCTTCTACAAGGCCATGTAGTGACAGGACAAGGAAAAATGGCTTCAAACTCAAGGAGAGTAGGTTTAGACTAGATATTAAGAAGAAATTCTTTAGTGTGAGGGCGGCGAGGCACTGCAACAGGCTGCCCAGAAAAGCTGTGGATGCCCCATCCCCCGAAGTGTTCAAGGCCAGGTTGGATAGGACCCTGAGTAACCTGGTCCAGTGAAATCTGTCCCTGTCCAAGCCAGGGGGGGTTGAAACTAGATGACCTTTAAGGTCCCTTCCAACCCAAACCATTCTGGATGGATTAGATCAAGAATCATCGAATCTTGATTCAAAAATACCTCCTATCAGCTCTTGTAAACCTTGTCAACTTATCTGTGTAATTACACATTGTTTCAGTTGTGTTTGTTGACTGAAGCACACAGTCTTATATGACTTAATCCTCATTTCTGTGGCACACACACACTATTCTCCAAGTTCAGAAGTTCTGTGTAGTTGGGGTTTTTTTGAAACCATAACTGCATTTTTTATTTTTTAAACACAAGCGCTAAAACTATCTTAATGAGAATTTAAAAAAACAACAGGCGCATGCAACATAAATACAGAAAGTAACATACTTACAGCTTCAAATGATAAATTAACATGTTCCAGGAATTTCTGCATTAAACCATCAGTTAGTTGGCTGAAGCGATACCGGAAGAGATCCATTTCTTGCTGAAGAAACCAACGTCTGAGATCCTCACTGCAAAGGAATAATGAAAAAAAAACCATAATGCATTTTCAGAACATGCATTCTCTCTTTCCTTAAAAACCAGACCTCAAACCTAGTGAATACGGCATTAAATGTAATGCTGACTTTGGGATGTAACCCACAAACTGGGGAGCTTGGGAGTGAAGGCAGGATATTTTCAGTAATGAGCACTCAATCAGAAAAGACTTCTGAAGAGACAATACACAAAGAAGCATGTTTTGAAAGGACAGAGGTAGTCAATGCCAACACTAAAAATTGCTCTGTAGGTATGAAAGCTGTCACTCTCTTAAACGGTACTCACCATTTCTTACTTGTTTTGGATAAAAATACTCAATCGTAAGTAACATTCTCCCTCGGTATTTAAAGAAAAGCTTTTTTTCCACAACATGGCACAGAATTTCTTCATTGTACAACTAATATCACAATTCACCTGATGAGGCAAATACATTTTGAAGGCTACTTCTTTTAAGTCTCGCTTTTAGGGTAGCTCCAGCTGAAGGAACATGCACACATCTCAGATACTATGACAATAGTGCTCTCCATTCTAGGCAACAAACAGCCTGGAAACAGGCAAAAGGAAAATATACGGAAATGAACTTGGGTGAGGAACACAAATAGAACATCTAATTCTTGACAAAGAGAAAAAGGGGTTTAGCAACTGCAGGTGATCAAGTAGGAGAACAAACAAGAACACAGGGACAGGAGTCAGTAGACAGTATAAAACAACAGCAAGTCTCCAAGTACTCTAAGTTTTCATATAACTCTTTACATTCCAGTGCTCAGATTCCCAGGCATCAGCGCACTGCTCAAAGCTATAGCAAATAGCTACCAAAATACCAGTAACAAAAGCCACCTTGTATGTACAAGCACAGAATGCAGATGATGCTGTACCTCACTACCACAGGGCACTCTCTTGAACTGTCCTCTGAGAGCTACTGTGTAGGCCACTGCCATGGCAATTCACAGAGCACAGAAATACTGCAGTCTTACATGTTCTTCTTAGAATATCTAGATGTCTTTTCCCATTGGGAACACATGGATCACAACAGTCATTTGTGCTTTTGCAGACAATACCTCTGGTTGAAAAAAAGTAATTATTACTCAAAGTAATTCCAGATGGAAAAGCTCTGTTCTAAAGCATAGAGTATAAGAAGAATAAACCTGTGGATGGTTTCAGTGCTTGGGACATACTAATAATCTGTGCAACTTAAAATGGAAGTTAATGTCTTCATGACAGATCTGTTGCAGTTCTTCTATGTGCATCTCAGGCAGTAATAAAACCCTAAGATGTGACAATTTTACTCTTTTCCTAGTTCATCAACTTCACACTGCATTTGTTTTCCTAAGTGGGAAAACAAACAAATGAAATATCAACGCACACACCAATGAAAAACAAATCACAACCACAATTATTTATAGTCACTTTGGAGGCCAGCCGGTCTGTTGTTCTTCCTTTCCTTCAAAGGCTGTAATCCCACCTACACACTTAAGTTACCAAAACAAGAAAATATTACTGTAATCTCTAATACACACACCTATCTGGATTCTTCCTACAGCTGACGAGCTGACTTTACACTATTGTGTATGTCCCAGCATATACTTTAAAACTGATTTTCCTAGGATCATCATCATTGGGGCATTATTTACTTCATTTCTAAAGACAAACCATAACTTATCCTCATTATTCACACGTAAAAACTGTACACTCTCACTTCAGACACACATTAGTATTTATACTTATTATCAAAACCCCAAGCTTAACTGAAAAGCAATATCACTGTCATTAGACTGACCAAGCTGCTGATGCACATGAGGGAGTTGCAGGTCACTGAACTGTAGACATAAAGGATATCTCCTTGTTTTTTGCCACTTAACTTCCTGGTGTGCAGGTTACTCAACAGTTAAAACCAGTTCATAGATTCCCAACTATAAAAATAATATAAAAGAACAGGCTCTTTTGTATAGGGAACAGCACTTGAGAGGGTGGGATTGGAATGGAAATACTCTTCACCCCCCCAAGGAAGAGTAGGAAAAAACAGCATATTTGTTGGGAAGCATCAAGGCAGAAGTACCTGAGGAAAGGCATGCAAATGTTCATAAATCTGGAACTTAAGACTAGCAGTGCACAGTCCACAGTAATACCAGAGTTCAGTTACCAACAACCGAATACTGATTCGTGAAAACCCTCGGCATGGGCCAGATCGCTGTTAGGCAACCAACACCAGAGGATTCCTCAGAGTTTAAGTTCCAAAAAGTGACAGCAAGGGGAACATGGGTACAGAAAACACACAAAAGTAAACGCTACTCAACATAAGGGGTAGGAATTTTAGCACATGAGTCTAATTTATCATATAGAAAAAACAGCAGGAAGTAGTGAAAAGGCCTTGCCAAGTTTGAAAAAGAACTTATATCCTTGTTCTGTGACACAGACCAAACCAAATTAACAAAAAGGCATAAAAGTATGTTTGATAGTTTTCTGAATAGAAGAGTTTTGCTGTCAGAGCAGAGGCAAAATTTATTTATTCCATCTTAAGAAAGTAAAGTGAAGATTATGTGCCTGTGACTTAGAAGGTTCTTCATAGCCAATTTGCTGAAGTGAAGAGAGATGTAATATACAGAAGCAAAAATGCAGTCATGTCCAACATGCAAACAAAATTGTCTTTAGATCTGCATCTGTCATGAAAGCAAACAATACAAGATTATTCTATTTCCTGATCCTGAGAGATATAAGTGACATTACAAGAGGTGTGAAAGAAGAGTATGGATGAGACTGTTCTATTCAGACTGTACATACCCCATCTTATGGGAATAAGCTTTACAGTCTTGGATTTTAGAAGACAGAAGAAGGAAAGTGAAGAGATGATGACTACATTACAAATTTAACTGACCAGAATGGTGGAGATGACCACTTCAGAGCGTGTAAAAACCAAACCAAAATAATTCAATTTGTAAGTGAGGACTGATACAGACTAGAAAAAAAAAAATCGATGTAAATTCATACCCCTTGGTGGCACTGTTGGCCAACTGGAAACTAAAAAATGCGCAGGAAAAGGAGCCTGTAAACACAGCTGCCACAGGAACTGAATTCAACCTAGTTTGCAGCTATGTCTATGTAAGTACACTTTTTCAATCACTCCTACCTTAACAGCCCTCATCAATTAAACTAATGACTTGTGCCAAGCTTATTTTTCTGCCCCAGTATGATAAAAACTTGAAGCATAGTATATTCTATTTGCCTTCCAATTTTATCTTCTGGGGAACATGCCAGTTTTAGATGACAGAAATATCTCATCCCTAAATAGTTGCTTTTCAAGAGAGAATGAAGAATGCTGGGTACTGGGTCACCTCATGGGGCTTAAGACATTATTTTCCATTTCAGGAGCAAGCACTAAATCCACCTTTTCAAAGAAATGGCAAAAGTGGAAACTGACTAAAAGCTGCTTTATTGCTATGGAGCATCAACCAACTGCACATAAACTGGAACACAAAAAGTTGTTTGAAGAGTGCTCCAGAGCTCCATCCATGGCCCCTCCTCGATCTAAAGGAGTCTTTCGCCCTAGACTACAAAGCCAGGCTGATTCTGTGGCCCAAAATAGATTGTAATCATTTCTGCATAGTGGCTCACCTTCAGAAAGCTGCCCACCTCTGTCCTGCTTATAGCCTAATTTTTAAGATACTTCCCTGAAACACAGGGTTTGAACAGTGTCTCCCATTTGCTTACTATGCAAGAATGCCAGTCAAATAAATCCTCAAACAGAAGATAATCATCTTCTTCTAAAAAGACAGCTTGCAGAGAAAAAGAAAGCAGTCAAATTATCTGCATCTATCATTAATTCCAGGAGATTCTAGAGCCATTATAGATAAGTAGGGCAGGAGGGTAAAGACATCACATCACTGACAAGGGTAAATGTTTAGCCAAGTCCCTGCTGGGATATTTCTGACTGAGGCAGCCTTTCACTCAGCTTACTATCCACTGTCATTCACATGCCTTCTCCCTGCTCAGCACAGAGGACAAAGCCTAGTAAATTCCACTCCTTAGCCTAATACCTAACCTTCAGGCTTTTGCTAGGTGGCTTAGGTTGCCTTCTGTGAATCTGACCCAAACTCATTTTTCCTGAGGTCAGAGACCAACCCAAAAATAGACACCTCTTGAATTCCAGATCAGATTCTTGCCACTAGAAAATTCTCCATAAGAGCAGAATTTTTTTCAAATGTGTCATTACCAAAACTCTCAAAGCATCTAATCTTCCACTGATAAGCAATGGTCTAAATAAGCTAAATAATAACTAAATGTTTAAAGTAAAGATTTACAAGAGAGGATAATGGAAGTCAAACTGACTATTCAAAATGCCACTAGCTGCATAACACAAACCATTACATTTTCAAGGGCCTTTTAGTGCCCAGGCTAATTGAGGATACTATCTTTTAGAGGGTTTTGGTAAACTCACAACATAGGTAAAGCAAGATAATTTCCAGTATGACTAAGGGAGTTTATAAAAATACACACAACAAACACAGGCACTAGAAAGAAACCAGCATTACATTTGTTATTCACAATCACAAATTATACATGTAGAATACAGAAGGGTAGAAGGAATTTCAGTTGTAATTCTGTTATTTAACTTGCTCCCTTCTTTCAGGATTTCAAACTATGCTATCAGAGTCAATGGCTGGTATTGATCTTCACATTCACAACCTGTTCCTCACTGTACCTGCATCATAGATCTAGCTGGTTCATCGATCACATACATTGACAAACTGTCTTCAGCACAGCCCAGATGCCTTTTGACAGGACAACATGATGGGATGTAAACAATCCATAAGATTTCAGGGTGTTTAAAAGTTAACCAGGGCCTGGTGAACTCATGGTGAGGTTTGATCTATCTGGAGGCGTTTGAGGCCTCTGCTACTTCCTATTCTGATCAGATGTTCTGGAGCAGGAACCCAAATCCATTTCAAAGACAAGCATCATTCATTCCAGCTCCATATTTTGGCTTAGACCACAATCCCACAATCCTTCCTACTCACTTTTCCGGCCTGTTTTTTGCTGACAAATCTGTATCCAACCATAGCAGCACCTCAGTCACATCACCTATCACAGTATAATATGTATTCTACCACATTCACATAATTTAAATAGACTATATTGCAACTTAAAGTGCAATTGAATTAACAGTTCAAAACAGTACATACTTCATATTTGCCAGGTTTAATTTTTAAAAAGACTGCAATGACAAGGAGTCAGGAGTTCACACTAATGTATAACAAAGCTGCTAGCAGACATAAAGCACTGACAGCTTCTATAATTTCATCCAAAAACTACAGGAGAAGCAAAAACAATGCACTTTACTTTTTGCTTGAGATCTCACACAACAAAAAAAATGCATTGCAACCATCCACAGCAATGAATTTGGACAAAAAGCAGAGTCAGTAGAGGAAACCTCAAACTAAATTGTATTTTTAGTTTGTCAGAAGCAAGGCTCTCTATACAATAATATAAAGCCTATTTACATTGTCAGGTCTTTGGTCAGTTATCAATAGTTTTAGCATATACAGCAGTGAAATTATATTATTAATCACTGCAAATGCCTGACAAACACACTTAATACTGACATGCTTTCATCTCAAAAAAAGATATGAAGAGACTCAAATCAATGCTCTGTGTATAAAAGCCAAAAGTTTGTTGGTTTTTTTTTTAATTATTACAAAATCCAAATACTAATTTTGATCCCACATATCCCTTTTCATCACAGTTGAAATCAGGTTCCTAGCAAAAAAAAAGCTGTTTGAGCCTACCTTTCAATAGAAATGCAACTCCAAAGTATCTGTAATGTCTATAATAAAGCAATGTAGTATCTGTATACATTTAAAATTAATGACGAGTACAGCATAATCCAAAAAGTACTTACGACTGGCAGTAAGCAAGGCGTAGTATGAAATGAGAGATATGATCTTTTCTTCTTGCCTCATAATCATCTTCAGCCAAAGCCTACAGAATATATTGTTATTATTTTAGAGAAATAATTTCTCCCAGATTAAAAAGTCACAATTAATTTACCACTGCTGTTCAAGATTGTCTAAACTCATCTTTTAGGCAATAAATGCAAACTATTAAGGAAGGCGGTAACCCTAAAGAAAGAAATATATATCCTAAAAGAAAAACTACATCTCTGACAAAATGACAGAACTGCAGTTTTAGAAATAGTATGTCATCACCTCTACTTTTATTCATAATTCTTGAATGGTGTAAAGAACATAAAGTGCAAGAGAGTTACATGTTCCGATTTTTACTTACTCTGTAGGGAAACTTAAGTTTCCGGAGCTCATTCTCCAGCTTAGTTTTGTACGAATCAGTACTTCTTACATAGCTCACACCAAGGTTTTCAACTACTTTGAGCACTGGACAAAAAAAATAAAGTCCATGTTAGAGAGAACATGTTGAAAAGAAATCCAAATGTATCACAGCTTGGAAAAGGCACAAACTAAGGTAAGGCCACAGGAATTGCTTTTAGCGGTAGGAGGAGCAAAAGCGTGAGAAATGTAGAGGATAAAGTGTGGCCCACGAGTCCTTAACAGCTGGCCCAACTCCGGGATCCATAGAGTCACAAGGAAAGGGAGACAGCTAACTGATGGATCACTCTCAGGACATCCGTTTCCACCGTAAAGACAGACACCTTGGACCCCGCCGTTTTCAGGAATTCAGGGGAATCCTTGGCTCCCCACCTGAATCGCAGTCCTGAGAGACATCAAATATGTCGCAACACCCATAGAAAGTGAAACGTGGTCGTAAAAACTACCAGTGTAAACCAAAACTACACAGTCCGGACATCTACACCGAATGGTTATGGTGAAATCTGTCTCAGCACCCTGAAATGCCCAAAGCAGCGCGCTTCCCTTTAGCGGGGGCTCCTGCCAGCAGGAGCAGCAGCCAGCTCGCGTTCACATCCGGCAAAGGGAGCAACCGGGCCCGCCAAAAACACACACAGCCTGACAGGAACGGTAAAAAGCATCGAGGGAGGAGAAGGGAGAGAGGCAGGGAGGGAGGGACGCTACTCACGCTTCAGGCGGTCGATGGCAAAGCTCTCGAACTCCACCAGCGAGATGCTTTCCGTGGGGGGCTCCAGGTAGAACTGCAGGCTGTGAGGGTACAGCTCCCGTCGGTCCCCAGCCAGCCGCAAATGCTTCTGCCTCGCTCGGCTGGAGAACTCCATCTGTGCCGCCCCAGAGCTGCCTCCGGCCCCGTCCCGTCCCGACCGACCCCCGCCCGCCGAGACACAGCGAGAAGCCCAACCTGTCCCCGGCCCGAGCCCCGGCTTCCCGCGCTCCGCCGGCCACGCCCACTTCCGCGATGAGCCGCGCCTCTCGCTCTGCCATTGGCAGGCGGCAGTGAGGGGGCGGGGCCCCGCTCTCACGTGCCCACAGCCGTCATGGCGGCTCCGTGCACGGCGGGCGGAACCTCGCTAAAAGGTGCCCACCCCCGGCATGGCGGCTCCGAGCACGGGGGCATCCTGGGCTCTTCTACAATTGTATCGTTTTGTCATTTTTCCACGATACTGCAGGATTTGCCATCTCTGCCGCCGTGTTGACCATTTTTGCTGCAGCTGGGGTTATATTATGTTTTATGTCCCGAAAAGTTAGTTAATCATCTTGCAACAGAGAGTTAAGGGGTGGGAAATCAGAACTGACATAGAGTTTGTGCTCACAAAGTGAGGAAAATCAGTAGCTTATGCTGGCAAGTTCTTAAGAGCAATGAAATGATCATGGACCAGGACACACACCGGTCTTGTGTTCGTGGGCAACACCTGAGACATTCCGAAGTAATCCGACTGCAGCTTTAACAAACACTGCGACTGGCAGCCAGCCTGCAGCTGCAGACTGCTTCTGTACTAGATTAAACAAGGTGTTGAGCTCAGCTGATGCAGGATAATCCACTCCATCCTTCAAAATAAGGTGGCCACATTGCCTACAGAGGATATTGATGTGCTTGTGCTAATTCTCAGATTGTGAAGTGTGCTCTTTGGTCTGGGCCAAACTCTGCCAAGGGACCATGGGAACATTTTAACAGGATAGAAAGTCAAGCTTCAATCTCCAGGACTGCTCTGTAGTTTTCCAGGAAAAAACATGCTATTGATATATTTTGATATAGTGATAATTTTATAATATATTTAACCCAAAGCAAGTTCATATCTTCATATGTATATATGTATATAAAGCAACCTTAATGCAAAGCAACCTTTTTTTCAAATAGACACTGTTCATCCCACACAGTTTCTTCCCTTCTCCACCTGGCTGCAACATGAGTTGCTCAGGAGTAGGAGTGCATCTGCCAAAATTCACCTAGTATTTGCAAGAAATCAGCTTTTGCCTTTGACCAGTGTGTTCATACCCAGAGACTGACAGTGCTCCACCCAGGGCAGGTCAGGTCGAGGAGTTTGGTCAGGTTCCCACATTTGTTTAGAGTGCTGTACCTGGCCTCGACTGGAGGGGGAGAAGTGTGACAATGCCGAAGAGTACAGCAGAAAACAACGATACTTTTCATTTTAATTAAATTTCCATTCATGTTTTAGGGTTTGGCACATAAACAGTACCACACCTTTTGAAATCATGGTATGCAGTTTGCTGGCCATTTCTACTGAACCACGTCCTGCTGATTTTTAACAACTCGGCAGTTATGTCTATGTCTGCTGTTTTACTTCTATTTTTTTTTCATTTATTGCTGAATATTGATCCTGAAATTGTCTGTAATTAGGTGAAATCTATCCTGTTTGTTTTTTTTTGAAGTTCGCTTAACTAATAACACTAAGAGTATTGCAAAATACCATAAGATTACTTCAGCAGAAATTAAGAATCAAAATTAACATCTATATTACTAGACTTAAATGCTATATTACTAGACTTAAATGAATCTTACAATGTAAGACCTTACCTTGTCACACACACCAAAAAATATTGGGAAAAGAAAATAGGAAAAAAAAGTGAAAATTTATCACCTTGATAAAACTCCCCAAATATAGTACTTCAAACCTTCTTACTGATGCATTTATTGAGACCTACAGATGGTAATACTTCTCACTATAGCATTTTGGTTACTTTTTTTTAAAGTATATTTTCATCACTCCCACAGTAACGTTACCAGTAGGGTCTGATTTTTTAAGTATTTTTAAGATAATTATTGATTTTGTAAAAACCCACCTCACAAATGTTTTACAACAACATCCATATGGTCAGCTGTCAAACTGTCCCAATCATCCCATCCAAACACAGTCCAATTTAGCATACCCAAAACTGTTCTGCTACTTAATTAACACAGTGTTGGGAGGAAAGAGTTAAAAGTGGGAAAATGAGGAGGAGGATGGTAGATTTGCTCAAGTGACCTTGAAGCTGGGAATGCCAAAGCCTGGAGAACAACAGTGTGGGAAACCCCATATATTGTACCTACTGCTGCTTATTCTGTCTCTGTTTTGAGAAGATTTCTGTGTAGAGACAATGTAGGTGTTTTGAGAGACTTTGAGGCAGTCTCATGGACATGTTTGAGCTCCCTCTTTCAGGAAAGATTAAAGCTCAGGGGAGATCACAGCATGATGGTAAACTATGCATGTGTGGGCCCTTGATAAATTGGGGCAAACAGCAATACTGACACCCACCAGCATGGATTGAGCTGGGATCCTCCAGTTAGCAAGGTAATGAAATAAATTTTCTCTTTTTATTTCAGTCATGGTTTTGTGGTTCTTCCAGCAGCCTGCCTGTGTCCACACACACACACACATGCAAAATCCTTACTTGCATTAAATATATATCATTGCACAGTTGCTACTCTCACTTTTGTTATATTTTTGTTATATATTTGCTATATTAACTTGCAGTGTCCAATGCTAATCTCCAGTTGAGATTAGCATTAGAGCCCAGTTGTTCTCTATTTGCATAACTATATCTGCTAATAAAAGGGTAAATATGGTGATGCTGGTATCTAGTCTCTCTTTCAAGCTGTCCCCTTCATCCATCATGTCTGGGATGTTTGGATCTCTATGGATAGCAGAGATGAGTACAAAATGTCCCTTCTCTGCTTCTGGCTCACTTTCAGCTCTTACTATTACTTGACAATCCTATTTACTGCCTGACTGAATTCTCATGTAATTCTGTCTTGAGATATATTGTCTTCATGACTTTTTTTTTTTTTTATGTTTTTACCTCTTAAAATGTTCTTCTTGAATAATTGTTCTTTTGCTTATACAAAATATTTATTTACATATTTTCCCCTCTATTAACTCTATTCCTTTACTGATCTGACTTTTTCAGAAATCTTAACAAGCTTACACTTTTAGTGCATTTATGTCATTTCTAGCACAACTTCTCTTTTCTTTTTTCTGTTTTGCAGTTCTCCATGCTTTTTATTACTTCTTTAAATGTTTGACATCAGGATTATACTGAGACTTTTTTCTGACCACAATGCACAGATACTTCTGTACTTACTATAAATAGCAGAGTAAATGTTCTGAGCTGGCCTTTAAATTCCTGCAGGCCCTGAAGTGAGTAAAGCATGAATCATTCAGTGAAGAGAGGTTCAGGGGCTACTTTAGTTGGAATACACTCTCAGTGTTAATTTATTTAAGTGGGGAGTAACAATAGTCGCATCCCTTGTGACACTCTAAATCTCTCTGGCTCCACTTACTCAGGGCTTTTGAATCCTGGATTTATTTCCCAAATCCCCTGTCCAAGACCCTAGTGCAGAGGCAAAGAAAATCTAGATATATCTTCCCAACCTTCTTATATTTATCCTGACAGGCAGATCGATCATCCACCTCTACCCCTCACTGCATGCATCTTCTTCAGTATGTTCAGGCTGCTGTAGCAAATATGCTCACTGCATCCTTCTCCTGCTATATATCATTTTTGATCCCTTAGCATAATTTTTCAGTGTACATATCGAGGCAAAATCTGCCATTTCCCTGCACTAGGCTTCTCCAAAAGGATGTCACTCTTGTACTCCATTACAAAATGCTCCATGTGCATGAAATAATTTTGCCTGCCATGGTGGGGCTCAGGGCAGGGAGGAGGGAAGTGACCTGGTGTTTTTTTCTCTTGGTAATCTTTCTCTGATAATTTTTGAGCATCAAATCAATGTTAAAGAGAGAGGTTGAAGCATCAAAGATAAGATGTACTCACAAATTTGAGAAATTAGAGCCTGAGCAAAGAAAAGAGAGGGAGATTCATGGGGAAAAAAAGCACAACTTGGCCTCTTTGGTGTGTGGAGCAGCAGCAATCAGACAGTTAACACAAACATCCTGGCCAGTCAGAGTAAATACAGCTTGAGCTCAGCCACTGCTCCATCGTCTGAACGGACAGGGGAAGGTTTGAACTATCAAGAATCAAGACTAATAAAGTAGAATTCATTTGCAGACTTAATTTATTCTGCTGCATAAGGATCTCCTTCTTTTTCCTACTATGTCTATTTTTATCATATTTAAATTGAGAGTTTCTGAAACACAAAAAAATTTTCAGTCTCTCTATCTGTAGGGGTATTGATGTTTTCTTTTCTTGGAAATTATTACCACTAAACTAATTTACAAGAAGTAAATGCTTTTGTTAAATATAACATTTAAAATTTATTGCATTTCTAATACTATCCTGAGAATGATTAAATTTCTACCTGTATAGCATTAAAGAATAGGATGTTTTCTTATCAAGTAATCTGTAGATGATCAAAAGATTTCATTAACTCCAAAAGTATTGCTATCCAACATAAAAACTAGACATAGCTATGTATCTAGAATTTTTTTAATCATATGAGGAATTATTTGTCAGCATTCAGAATAATGCAAAAAATAAAGTTTAAAGTATTTTTGCAAGGAAAATGTCTTATTGTCTGAAAATTTTTAAATATTATTCTTTCTCAGTTAAAAGAAATCCAACCACTGCAGTTGAAGGATTTTGTTCAGCCCTTTTGGTCTTTAATTAGGGGTATTGTATAATACAAACTTGGCCATTTTTTGGCAGATCTCCTGTTTTAAGCCTATGACTTGAGCATGAAAAAATGTCCTGTTCATCCTGACACACACTGAGTGTTCAAATACCCAGTCACTGCGTAAAACAGACTGCAAAATTCCATCCTAATAGTAAGTAGCCAACTGCCTTCCAGTTGCTAATAAATCTCTGTGTTAGACTTCTCTGAGCACTTACACCATTACAAGTGAAAACCTCCAAAATAAACATCAGGGTGGGATCCAGTCTGCCTAATCTAGACACTAAGCCTACACCTACCTTTTAGCTCTTCTTTAAAGGGAATAATTTCCCATGGAA